TACACACACACACACACACACAGACAGACACAGACACAGACACACACGCACACATTCACACACGCACACACACAGACACACATTCACACACACACACACACTCACACACATACGCTCACACACACACAAACACAGAGAGAGAGTGTGAGAAGGACGGATGAAGGTTAGACGCACTCATAAATTGTGTTTCTGTAATCTGTGGATGTCCATTAACTGCAGATGTTTGTTTATCTTCACTCTTTTCTTCATCTGTGTTCTTGTCTCTCTCTCACTCCAGATTTGAACTCAACAGCATCATGTTTTTGATCCTGTGCTCTTCCTCTCTCTCTGCACAGTTTATGAGTTTTTCATTTGACCTTTTTACTAATTCTATGAATTAGATGCACATTTGAAACATTTTAATTATTTATCACACTCTACAGCTGAGCATAATAATTCAGTGTGGATTCATATTTAATCACTGTTATTCCATAACTTCAATTAGAAACACAGGCCTGTACATAATTCATATGGTTATATCGTGTAAATCAGCTGGATCTCTTTGACTGGGATTCTGTTATTTGATTTCGCTGTCATTCAATTATTGCACTAATTTGTCAAAATTGTTTAGTATTTTACATGAATTACATATTTTCCAATAAATAAATAAAATAATTAAAAACTATATCAGGTGTATTTTACATAAAAAGTTAGCCTATTCTCAATGCCCTGCTATAACTAAATTAGCAAATATTTCCATTTATTTCCTTCAAAGGCATAGTTCACCCAAAAATGAAAATTCTGTAATCATTTATTCCCCTCAAGTAGTGTACGAGTTTCTTTCTTCTGTTGAGCACTAAAGAAGATATTCTGAAAATGTTGAAAGTTGCTAATAATATATATATATATATAAAATCCATACAATGGAAGTCAATGGGGACAGCTGAGTGTTTGGTTATCAACATTCTTCATCTTTTGTGTTCAACATAAGAAAGAATTCCCATGATGAAAGAAAAAGATACAAACATTTAAATAAAACAATAAAAGTGTTGTTTATGTTTATATTAAAAATGCATCCGCTTTTCATTGTTATTTTACACTTATGATTAATCACCTAATATTATTGGTGTATTTCCATTACTCCAAATCAGTTCCTAAACCATGTAGTATGGATATTGATCTAACCATTTGGATAAAACAGTTCCATGAAACGTGTTTGACTACAATTTTATTTAAAACTCAATACTTCTGAAATCATTCATGTATAGTCACCCTGTGAGAAGACATTTTATAGGAATTTTTCTTCAACCAGTCCATGATAAAATAAAATCCCAGAACAGCTGAGAAAAACACTGATGCATCAGTGCATTACAAACCATTTCTGAGGATCCATTGAACCACAGGCATCCAAACAGAGAAGATTCAGGTTGTGGTGAATCATTAGAAATGACAGAAATTGCCAAAGTTTCTCCAAGAACACAACAGCACCTCAAACAGACCTAACAGGAATGATGTAAAGTTATGACAGACAGGAAACCCATGCAGACAGCTCACCTTTTATCTGCCAATGAAAGAAATCCATACAAGAACTGCAACTTTTTCATTTCAAAACTATTTTAAACAAAAAATGCATTCAACATTCATCACTGAAGTGCAACAATATTGTCACGATCCCGTCCCCCAAAGTAATTTTTCACCATTTTTATTTTGGTTGCTGCAATCTCTATTTCTGTTTTGCAACAAAGACCTTTTTTATTTTTTTATTAAACACATTTCTTGCCATTCCCCATATAGTACCATTACACGATCTAACTGACCCATACTAAACAGCTATATCTAGAGTCAACCAGCTAATCAGAAACAGAGCACAAATATGCTTTAATATATTATTTAGCAGCAAATTGCGATCGCTGAGAACTACTGGCTTCTCTTACATTCATCAAAGCAGCAGACATCATCATTTTAACATACATCTGAATGCAAAAATCCAAGATGAAATGGCATACAATAAACAAACAAAATAACCGTGATAAGTGCGAGCCACTCGAAAGAACGTTTCACTTCTGCTTGTGTGTTTCTGTCTCATGTTAGCCTTAATGTCCCTGCTGCCATACATCTTATAAATAGAAATGATATCTTATGAAAACATTCAGGGGGTAGAATATTATAAATCGTCTCATCTGAAACGACTAATTTTCTAAACAGCTAGATTTCCTTTGTCGCACCATGTAAACTGAACCGTAGAATTTTAGTGAAAAGAAATAGGAAACAGTCCTTTGTGTTTCACCTGGTTTCGTCCGCAGATCCTGCGCTCGTTCTGCGTCACACAAACCAGCTGAGATCAGGAGTGACTCTCACATTGTCCTGCACATAAATCAGCACAGAACCGCCTTCACTAACTCATCAGTCATGCAGCAACCAGAGAAATCCATAGTAAACATCAAGACTTTATGCTGAGTAATAAACTTCTCTCATCATTTATGCACCGTCTCGTTTCAAACCTGGCATAGCCACTATGTTAAAACTGTGTCTTAAGAACTAATTTGACCACTTAGCAGTTAACCAAGTGGTTTCGGATTCAAATTAGTCCAATCTACCTTTAAATAGTCATGACCATTTTCTTGAAGAAAAAACTTAGATGACTAACTTTTAAGACTAGTCCAAGTGGTTTGTGCAACCAGCAACTGAATAACTTTCTTTTTTCCATGGAACACAAACGGAGATGTTTAGAAGAATATTCACGCCGCTCTTTTCCATGCAATGAAAGTGCAAAACGAAACAAACAAACAGCATGCCAGGATCATAACAGTTGTCCATGTGAATCTATATTCCTAGTCTTTTAAAGTTTTTAAAGATTGAGCTCGTCCATTTCTGTGTAACCCGAAGCGCGTTCCGCTCTCATAATGTTATATCCGCTGCTGAGTGACACTAAAGCTCCTGCACACTGAGAGAAATTTTCGTACGCGTTTTTTCATATTCCTCATCCTAAAAATTCGTCACGCACAGAAACCTTGCACACTGAGTCTGATGCGTATTAATTAATCCGTTTCTAAAAAATCGCAAAACAATAAAAAATGGAGTCTTCATGCAGTGAGGATGGTTTTGTTGTCCTCTCGCTTCTTCAAAAGAGAGAGAGAAAAAAGAGGAAATATTGGGTTCATCCAATCCTGAGATATAGAGAGGAAGGAGCAGCGGGATTATCATTTAGTGCGATTGCTAGCGATACTAGAGCCACATATTAAAAAGAAGACCACCAATTTCAATTTCTTTTCTTTTTCAAATTGCGAAAAACGCAGAAAATCGAACCCGATCCGAATTTTTTTATGACGGACGAAAGTTTCGGAGGCAGCGTGTAAACGTGATTGACAACAACGTGAGGTCGTATTTATTTTTTAACGTGCGAAAATTTCGGACGAGAATTTCAGACTCGGTGTGCAATGACCTTAAAGGGATAGTTCACCCAAAAATGAAAATGCTGTCGTTAATTACTCCCCTAAAGACCTTCGTTTATCTTCGGAACACAATTTAAGATATTTCTGATGAAATCTGAGAGCTCTCTGACCCTGCATAGACAGCAACGCAACTGAAATGTTCCCAGGTCCAGAAACGTAATCCATGTGACATCAGGGGTTCAAGCGTAATTTCACGAAGCTATGAGAATACTTTTTGTGCGCAAAGAAAACAAAAATAACGACTTATTATAATATTCTCCATTGTGGAGAGTATCACGATGCATATGCTTGCTTCCGCTTCATGTAAACAGCGCATGGCGCTGCGGCTTACATTAACATAATAAACTTGTTGTTTTTGTTTTCTTTGTGCACAAAAAGTATTCTCGTAGCTTCGTGAAATTACGCTTGAACCCCTGAAGTCACATGGATTACGTTTCTGGACCTGGGAACATTTCAGTTGCGTTGCTGTCTATGCAGGGTCAGAGAGCTCTCGGATTTCATCAGAAATATCTTCATTTGTCTTCCGAAGATCTTACAGGTAATTAATGACAGAATTCAGATTTTTGGGTGAACTAACCCTTTAACTCTGCAGGTTTTTCACTGGCATGTAATCTCCACTCGAGGGCTCGATCAGCCCGCAGGAGCTCTGCAGGTCCAGGTTGAGGAGGTCCAGGTCTAATGCAGGGATGGAGCAGCTCGGTCGCAGCAGCAGATCCGTGCGCGGGAGGCACATGAGCGGGTGTCTGCTGGGCTGCGGCGCCGGCAGGTCCTGGGGCAGGTGCGGAGCCAGGTTTAAGCCCAGAGGACTGGGCAGCTCCATCTCCTCCATGCTGTCCTCGGCTCCGCCGGCGAAACCCGAATCCGGACTCTGTGTGTCCTGCCTCAGCTTCTCCAGAGAGAACTCCAGCTCCTCGGTGTGCTTCTCTCCAGCGGCGCGAGCGACGTCAGCGGCGCCCCCTGCTGGCCCGTAGGAGGAGTGCGCCGAGCAGGGCTCCAGAGCGTCGCTTGGCCCCTTGGAGCTCTGGGACATGAAGTAGGTGGAGTTGGAGAAGTTGGAGGATTTGGCGGTGTCATCCCATCCGTCCTGCGTGCCGCCGCTGTTTCTGTGCGAGCCGCGGGATTCGCAGGAGTCCTGCAGCTTCAGGACCTCGACCGGACTGATGAACTCGGTGTCCACTCTGATGAAGCTCTCGTGCACTAAAACCGACCCCAGCCAAGACTGATGGAGAGAACGTGGGTTATCAAACAGAACTGAACGAAAACCAATGCGTGTCTGATTTTATAAAACGGATAGTTCCGGTGCTTGATTCTGATTGGCTGAGCCGCGTTCGAAGCTGTTGTAAATTACTCTACAAAGTAACATACACCTTTGTTTACTTCTGTGTGTTGCTCGGCAACCACTTTGTTGCAACCACAACTGTTTCTGAGGAACTACATTGTTTGGTGGAAGAATACTGTTTTTATTAATATCATTACACTTTATTTCGCATCGTACCTAACAACGGCCCTTAGCTGTTATAAATTCACTGTAAACCACGGCTTCTTGGGGCTTATTGCTTTAATCTGAGGCGCGGGACTCACCGTGAAATTCCCTCCGTGGCTCGAGTTCAGATCACCGAAGAATTTGGAGGGATCAGGAATATACGTGGAACCGTTCTTCTGGACCCTGAAAGGTGAAGAAGCCACATTCCTGTGGCCCAATACTGTCATTCTGTGCTCAGATACACTCTTGATAACAGATCCTAACAGATGTAATGTCTCTCATATAACCTGACACTTTCTTTGTCCTCACTGAAATTATTTACAATCATTTTCTGCTTAAGAGGTCATGTGGGATAATTGTAAGTCAGCTCTTTTATATATTGTTGCATTATAGTTATTATTATAGTTAGTTATCGTTATTGTTGCTATTGTTAGTGTAAAGTTATTTTTATAGTCAGTTATAGTTATTATAGTTGTAGTTATTGTTATCATTCCACTATAGTTATTTTTTGTTATTGTAGTTTTTATTGTGTTGTAATTATAGTTATCATTATTGTTATTACTGGTATCGCTATAGTAATAGCTATCGCTATAGTCATCGTTATAATTATCATTATTGTTACAGTTATCGTTACAGTTACTGTTATCATTGCCATTATCGTTTTAGGTCATTATCATTACAGTTATCTTTATTGGTAGTTATCATTATCATTATAGTTAACATTATAGTTATTGTTACTTTTTAGCTTTTGTTATCCTTATAGATATTGTTATAGTTATCATTATAGCTGTCATCATTGTTATTGTCATTTTTATAGTTATCATTATCATTATAATTATTGTCATAGTTTGTAAACCGTTATTATTATTAGCATTATAGTTATCGTTATCGTTGTCCTTTATATTTATCATTATAGTTATTATGGTTATAGTAATTGTTATAGTTATCATTATAGCTGTCATTATAGTTACTGTCATTATTATAGTTATAATTATTGTTACTGTTATCATTATAGGTATCATTGTTATTGTCATTATAGTTATTGTTATCATTATATTTATTGTCATAGTTTGTAAATCGTTATTATTAGTATTACAGTTATTGTTACCATTGTCATTATATTTATCATAGTTATAGTACTTATTATAGTTATTGTTATCATTGTCATTATTGTTATTATTATTATTAGCAGCATTATAGTTATAGTTATAGTTATCATTATCGTTATGGTTATAGTTGTTGTTTGTGTTGTGAACTCACTGAAGACTCCTCCCAGGTGCATCAGGCATCAGCAGCGTCACACTCACCTTTTGATTCTCTTGCACTTGATGAGAATGGTGAAGATTAATATGGTGGCCAGAGTGATTCCTGTGAGCGTGATTCCTGCCACAGACGATTCCAGCTGGATGATCTCTGAAGAAGCAGATGAGAGCGTTAGAGTATGGCAGTGTGTGTGTGTGTGTTTGTGTGTGTCTGTGTGAGTGTGTGTGTGTGTGTGTCTGTGTGCGTGAGTGTGTGCGTGCGTGTGTGTGCGTGTGTGCGTGTGTGTGTGTGTGCGTGTGTGAGAGTGTGTGTGTGTGTGTGGGTGTGTGTGTGTGTGTGTGAGAGAGTTTGTGTGTGTGCGTGTGTGAGAGAGTTTGTGTGTGTGCGTGTGTGAGAGAGTTTGTGTGTGTGCGTGTGTGAGAGAGTTTGTGTGTGTGCGTGTGTGAGAGAGTTTGTGTGTGTGCGTGTGTGAGAGAGTTTGTGTGTGTGCGTGTGTGAGAGAGTTTGTGTGTGTGCGTGTGTGAGAGAGTTTGTGTGTGTGCGTGTGTGAGAGAGTTTGTGTGTGTGCGTGTGTGAGAGAGTTTGTGTGTGTGCGTGTGTGAGAGAGTTTGTGTGTGTGCGTGTGTGAGAGAGTTTGTGTGTGTGCGTGTGTGAGAGAGTTTGTGTGTGTGCGTGTGTGAGAGAGTTTGTGTGTGTGCGTGTGTGAGAGAGTTTGTGTGTGTGCGTGTGTGAGAGAGTTTGTGTGTGTGCGTGTGTGAGAGAGTTTGTGTGTGTGCGTGTGTGAGAGAGTTTGTGTGTGTGCGTGTGTGAGAGAGTTTGTGTGTGTGCGTGTGTGAGAGAGTTTGTGTGTGTGCGTGTGTGAGAGAGTTTGTGTGTGTGCGTGTGTGAGAGAGTTTGTGTGTGTGCGTGTGTGAGAGAGTTTGTGTGTGTGCGTGTGTGAGAGAGTTTGTGTGTGTGCGTGTGTGAGAGAGTTTGTGTGTGTGCGTGTGTGAGAGAGTTTGTGTGTGTGCGTGTGTGAGAGAGTTTGTGTGTGTGCGTGTGTGAGAGAGTTTGTGTGTGTGCGTGTGTGAGAGAGTTTGTGTGTGTGCGTGTGTGAGAGAGTTTGTGTGTGTGCGTGTGTGAGAGAGTTTGTGTGTGTGCGTGTGTGAGAGAGTTTGTGTGTGTGCGTGTGTGAGAGAGTTTGTGTGTGTGCGTGTGTGAGAGAGTTTGTGTGTGTGCGTGTGTGAGAGAGTTTGTGTGTGTGCGTGTGTGAGAGAGTTTGTGTGTGTGCGTGTGTGAGAGAGTTTGTGTGTGTGCGTGTGTGAGAGAGTTTGTGTGTGTGCGTGTGTGAGAGAGTTTGTGTGTGTGCGTGTGTGAGAGAGTTTGTGTGTGTGCGTGTGTGAGAGAGTTTGTGTGTGTGCGTGTGTGAGAGAGTTTGTGTGTGTGCGTGTGTGAGAGAGTTTGTGTGTGTGCGTGTGTGAGAGAGTTTGTGTGTGTGCGTGTGTGAGAGAGTTTGTGTGTGTGCGTGTGTGAGAGAGTTTGTGTGTGTGCGTGTGTGAGAGAGTTTGTGTGTGTGCGTGTGTGAGAGAGTTTGTGTGTGTGCGTGTGTGAGAGAGTTTGTGTGTGTGCGTGTGTGAGAGAGTTTGTGTGTGTGCGTGTGTGAGAGAGTTTGTGTGTGTGCGTGTGTGAGAGAGTTTGTGTGTGTGCGTGTGTGAGAGAGTTTGTGTGTGTGCGTGTGTGAGAGAGTTTGTGTGTGTGCGTGTGTGAGAGAGTTTGTGTGTGTGCGTGTGTGAGAGAGTTTGTGTGTGTGCGTGTGTGAGAGAGTTTGTGTGTGTGCGTGTGTGAGAGAGTTTGTGTGTGTGCGTGTGTGAGAGAGTTTGTGTGTGTGCGTGTGTGAGAGAGTTTGTGTGTGTGCGTGTGTGAGAGAGTTTGTGTGTGTGCGTGTGTGAGAGAGTTTGTGTGTGTGCGTGTGTGAGAGAGTTTGTGTGTGTGCGTGTGTGAGAGAGTTTGTGTGTGTGCGTGTGTGAGAGAGTTTGTGTGTGTGCGTGTGTGAGAGAGTTTGTGTGTGTGCGTGTGTGAGAGAGTTTGTGTGTGTGCGTGTGTGAGAGAGTTTGTGTGTGTGCGTGTGTGAGAGAGTTTGTGTGTGTGCGTGTGTGAGAGAGTTTGTGTGTGTGCGTGTGTGAGAGAGTTTGTGTGTGTGCGTGTGTGAGAGAGTTTGTGTGTGTGCGTGTGTGAGAGAGTTTGTGTGTGTGCGTGTGTGAGAGAGTTTGTGTGTGTGCGTGTGTGAGAGTGTGTGTGTGTGTGTGTGTGCGTGTGTGTGTGCGTGTATGTGTGTGTGCGTGTGTGTGTTACCTGGTGTGTGGGGCGTCTGACCCACAGCAGATGTCCACCTGTACTCTTCACTCCAGTCGCTCCACACAGCATTGGGCAGTTTACTCTCTTGATACTTGACTCTCACCCTGATCACGTACTGCTGATTTAAGAGCAAATGGTCCTCTGGCAGCTCCAATTGAGTTTCTTTAGTATTTACGATAAAATTTTCCACATCCTACACAGACATTGACAGAATGAAGTATTTCTGCAGTGATGAACGCTGACAGAGTCACAGTGAGACAGTTCTGAATCTGCCTTCAGATGCACATCATCTAAACATCCTACAGTTTGTTTTACAATCACTTACACACTAAAAGTACCCGAGACACACTCCTAGTAATGCATCCTCAAACCAAGTCAGCAAAACTGCAAGCACATTATCAGTTTGCAACTGTGAAACGAAATTTTTGCAGAACACTGAACACTTTTCTCCACATTAGACACTGACAGCTCATGAGTTCTGGAAAACACTGCCATTTGAAACACCACATTAATTTACTGATCACCTACACTTACAGCTCTTTCCTTCACAACAGTTTGAGAAAGAAAGATATTATTTCCACCCTTTGTATCTATCGCTGAATATGCTGTATATGGTATTTATGAGCACACTGAACATGCACAAGTTAGTCGTGTTTGTGTAACTGGTGTGTATAGGGTAATCATCTGTTGGTTGTGTGAGTTGCAAGATGCAAGAGATGTTGTGATGTTGTAGAGTTTAGAGAAAATAAGCCACAGTTTCATAAATCATGTATAAGCAATTGTCAAAAACTTTTTTTGTCATGGAAAAAAAGAGGTTGACATGAGAGAGGTTGATATGCTCACCTTCCAGCTCTGAGCAGCAGATCTGTACTGCACCCCAAACTCAGGCTTTAAAAATTTTTTTGAAGGAACAAAAATCCAAGAAACATTGATCCCGTGAACTAGCACTGTCTCAGGAGGAGCCACTTTCACTGCTGCACACACAAACACACCATAATCGCTCAAGCAAACAGTTATCAGTGCTGATCAATAGGTCAGATTGGAGCCAGAACAGAAGCCGTGACAAAGATTCTCTCGTTAACTAATGAACTCTTCATTTACACTAATGGACTCCTGCTTCACATGTGTAAATATTAGTGACTGATACACAGCCCTTCTCCAATCACACGCTCTCTAGCTTCTGTTCCAGACTGTGTGAGTTATTATATTTGACTCACCACTGTCTTCTGCATCATGTTGTGCTATTTCAGCCAAAGGATTTGTGTAGTTGTCACAACGGACTTCTTCATGTAATCCGGTCGCTGATGTTATTATACCTCGCTGCAGCAGAAGAGAAAGAAATAATACATCTGTATGACTCGTCATATGTTAGTTTGGTTTACTACTCAATGAATCTGCAGTTTAACATGTCAAACGAACTCAAACACATGCCGTCAGTCACCTTGCTTTTAAAAACCACGGTGGCAGAGCGTATATGAGGCTGTGCCGGGTCTGCAAACATCTGCGCCTTCTCTGGAATCGGATCTCTAAAATCAAAGAAAGTTCAGAATTTCACATATAAAAATGAAGCACATACCCATTAGGTTTTATTTTATTTTTCTAGATTTACCTCACAAACTAACCAACAAATGAATTAGTAGAATTAAGAGAAAGGAACGAGAAAACTGAAAACTGTTCTACGTTCATTAGTTCTGGATCCTGTACAATATGAAGGCTGATTTAATCACAAGCTAAATACGTTATGAAGTCACATTTTTCCTTACAGCTTCGTAACCGTTACATGAATCCAGCAGACGGTCTCGGGTTGGACCGGAGGGATCACGTCCAGTTTTGAGGTGTCCCAAACACATGTGAAGGTGTTGTGGTAATCATTATGACACGTTAAACCTGGAGAAAGAGCAACATCTGAGCAATTCAACCTAACACTAAAGGTTGCAAAAGGGTGTTTTCGCAGTGACACCACAGATTAACCATTTTTAGTTCCCCATAGAACCATACAGTAAACAGTTCATAAAAATAACCATCTTTATTTTATTAATCCAAAGAAACTTTTTTCTATTTTAAAGAACCTTTTTTGCTATGCAAAGGTTTTTGGATGTTAATGGTGCCATCAATGCCAATTGAGAACCTTTATTTTTAAGTGAAAAACACACATTTTCACAACGTGTGTTAGACCCTATACCCACCAATCTATTAAAAGAGATCAATCTTAACAAATCATACATATCTTACTGTTATTAAGTAGTAGCAGTAATGAACAGGTGCCTTATTAATCACAAGTTCAGTATGGAGTACCACAAGGCTCAGTACTAGGACCGCTGCTTTTTACCCTGTACGGCTGTATAGCTGTTTTTTTTTTTTTTTTCAGATTTAACTGCTTACAAGACATATAGACAAACTTAGTAAACACACACAGACCGATCACAACACAAACACAAAGCCCATCAGGAGTTCTTACTTTGATCTGCAAGAGCTGAATGTGATGATGTCATCAAAATCATCATCATCATCATCATAGCCAGAATCTGCATGATGGCGTGTTCCTCCCAGCATTCATCTGGAAATCTGTTGGGAGACAGAGAGACTTTCATTCATCACGTGTGTAATTGTTGCTTATCTTCTCGGCAAACGCACAGAACATGACAAATAAAGCTTTGGCATTCATTTTCCTCCCCCAAACGCTCACACACTCGTCAGGTGGAAAAACCCAAAGCCACAAAGAGAAAGAGCAAATACACAGATCATCACCCACAGACTCAGAGATATAAGATGAAGAGCTTCTAAAGTGTGTTCAGAGCGTGACAACACCGTGACGATAAACGCCGTTAAACACATGACTGAACGAACGCATGGAGGAGCATGACAGACTCGACGGGACACATTTTAACAATGTGTACTCTGAAATATTTTCAAAGTTTTTCTTTTTCTTTTCTTCCTGCTTGAATAAACTGTAATTAATAATCAATAAAATAGAGAACAGAAGGAAAGTATCAGCACTTCAGTGTTTAAACTCAATCATAGCTATTAAATCAACACACTCATATTTCAGAAAGATGTTCAAAACCTGGAAGTGGTCTGGGAATATTTTATCATATTATATTTGAGCTTTAAACACCACTGAAGGGAAATGTGTGTGATGATGATGATGCTTCTTCTTCACTACACTACACTATCAGATGTTCATTCATTTCAAATCATCCTCTCCACTAAAGAAGGGTTTTCTACAGAGAGCTCATACAATCTTGATTTTTGTCTAAAAGCTCAAGCGTTCAAGCAGAAGCTTCGCGCTGACAGATGTGTGTAGAGACTCAGAGTGAATAAAAGCGTGTTACATACGTGTGGAGCGGAGACGTCCCAGTGCTGAGCGTCGCGATGTCACTCGCTCATGTTCCCGTCTGTGAGCGTGATCACACACACGGTAGGGTTAAAAGAGCACAGCGATTCTCCACGAACGCAGCCCTTCCTGTCACACACACACACACACACACACACAGGTAGTGAAACAGGTCATGGATTAAACCAGCGCTGGGCTGTTGTGGTGACATTTACACTAAAGCTCAGGCAGGAAACGAGAAGCGTGCAGGAGACAGCCGTTCTCCCTCACTCACACTCACACTCACACTCCTGTCCATTACACCCAAAAAACACACGTTTATAGACCAACTGCTGGAAACAGGTGTTTGTGTGTCTGTGTATATATGTGTGTGTTTGTGTGTGTACGTGTTTGAATGAAAATGTGTGTGCTAGTGTGTGTGTGTGTGTTTGTATGAAAATGTGTGTGTGTGTGTGTGTGTGTGTGTTTAGCAGTATTTGTCTTAGTTTTAGTGTGCAATAATAGCTCTGTTTTCTGGGACACTGATCACAGTCAGATATGGTGGATTGACATTTGCAATTGCAGATTTCAGTTGAATGAACGTGGAAAAGGGCAGAATGTGCATATTGCTGCTTAAAGAAAAGAGTAAAATAATAGCCTGGGGGAGACGTTGAAGAACAGTGTATGTTTAGTAGAGATCAGAGAGTCGGAGCGGCTGAAAGAGACGGAGGTATAAATTGAGGTGCTATTTCAGTCAAGTCTTTATTGATTCAGCTCTGAAATCTTAAATTAATCCCGTCCTCCTCCGTATCCATCTCTTTTGTGTGTGTGTGTGTGTGTGCGTATGTGTTTGAGTGTGTGTGTGTGTGTGTGCGTATGTGTTTGAGTGTGTGTGTGTGTGTGTGTGTGTTTGTGTGTTTTCAGGGCCTCACATTTCCGAGAAGCTGTAAATGAGAGAACAGTTTGTGGTTGTGCTCCTGAAACCCCTTTACAACTCTAGTAAATATCTATCTATCTATCTATCGTTCTATCTATCGTTCTATCTATCTATCTATCGTTCTATCTATCTATCTATCTATCTATCTATCTATCTATCTATCTATCTCTCTCTCCGTCTATTTATCATCTATCTATCTATCTATCTATCGTTCTATCTATCTATCTATCTATCTCTCTCTCCGTCTATTTATCATCTATCTATCTATCTCTCTCTCCGTCTATTTATTTATTATCTATCTATCATCTATCTATCTATCTATCTATCTGTCTGTCTGTCTGTCTGTCTGTCT